AAAATGATTGACAATCACTTTATAAACAATTTCGTTTGTGGTCCGTGTCGCGGAGACTGCCCGACCACAAGCGAGCCACCCAAAGCACATTCGCATTTGCTGTTGCTTCCCCATTCAAGTCGTTGGCAGCAACCAGTTGCATATGAAAGTAAAAGTAAAGCAACGCAGTCGAAAACAAATGCCTGGCTCAGATTTGTATGTAATACGCCTATATAAACACAGACAGAGACCGCGTGCATTTCAATGCAAGCCAGCAGGCAGACATATAAATATGTGTATATAAACATGCTACTCCATATATATATATATATATATATATATATATATAACAAACAAAAGCAACGCTCAAGCAGACAGCGACACCGGTTGTTGCTGCAGACAGTATATATATACATATACATATACACACATCCATGTATTTAGTCATATATAAAATGCGTTCAAAAAGGCCGCTGCGCTTGTTGGTCAGAAAGCGCAGACGCTGATAAAAACTGAAAGCCCAACCGAAACATATATATGTATATATATTGGAGATCGAAATACTTATGAGCTAAATTATATTCAAAGGCATGACATCATAGGAACACACAAACGACGCGTCGTTCTGCATATGCCTGAGAAACGGCATTTCTTTGAATAAGCGTAAGAGAATTCCAAATGACTCAAAACTTGTCATGTGAATATTTGGCAAAAGCAAAATATATATTATATTGTCCTTGCCCTAAAAATAGAGGTGTGAGATTTCAACTAGCTTTTGTGTTTTGTTTTAAGTTTGAGAACGCAATCTCAAATTGATTGTGGACCATGCTTGTGTGCATATGGAAAAGAGTTTGTTGTCTAAGTCATTCGTTTAAACAAAGATTTTATTTATGGTTTCTGCAAATTGTGCATATTAAATTCTGCTTAACTTTTTTTTCTCGGTGTCATTAAATGTTAAGATTGCTTTCGATATTATCATTACAGCGTGATAAATCGGAAATTACTTAAATGGTAATATATTTGGCGCCATTGAAATTGAAGATTTGATTTATGAAATATGTATTTGTAGCTGTATCCCAATAAAATATGCAAAGGTCAAATATATATACTATATAGGAGATCGAGAAATGAAACTTACTTAATAGGCCCCAAATTTATACCTTTTGTAAAAAAAAGTTTCTTTCTTTCAGTTGTAAGAGATCAGCCTTTGTAGCTGTTTCTAGTTAAATTTAATCCAATCATAAAGGGATGAAGGTAAGGTTAAGCTGAATGTTTAGTAAAAAAACAGTAGACCTAATACATTGTGGGCGAATTCCCCAATACAAATTTATTTTAGCTCAGGATAATCTGTTAGCAATCTTTTAGATTGGCATTTGTTGTAGTTTTATCAAGTGACTTTTAGCTATAAAGCACAACAAAAAACACAATGCCTACGCCCAGATCAAAACAATGAAAAAGGGGCGGGTTGGCGATTAGATTCGTCTAAACAATAATCTGTATAATATATATTTATTTTTTCCTTGCCGTTTTTTTGTCACAGGTCAGTTTTAAGTATATAATATGTAACATATATATATATATATATATATTTTTTAAAATTTATTTTCTACTTTTTCCCAATTTGACTTACTTTTTAAATTTTGCTTTGGAAAGCTCGTTTCATTTCCTTAGGCATATAAGAAAGTCATTTCTATGGACTTCTGTCACATAATTTTCAACAAAAATAAATTTGTTTGCTGTGAGTCATGCGGCTGCTGAAATTTTTCGTTGCAGCTTCTAGCCAAGCTTACAATTGTTTTCGGTTGTTGTTTCTTATTATTTGTTGTTCACATTAGTTATCTTTCAAAGCCATGTTCAGCTGGCTGCCTGGTTGCTCCATTCAAAATACAAAAAAAAACCAAAACACAAAAAATGAGTGCATAACTAAAGTTGCAACGCTGTCTTTTATTGTTGCTGTTCTTTGCAGCACCAGCAGCAGCAGCTCAATGTCTGGCAGATAAGCAGCAGGCAAAAAACAGCGACAACAAGAAATATGCACAGCCCACAGTGTGACTAACAATGGAAATTGTAGCACAGTGCCATTGTGGCGCACACTTGGCCAAAGCTTGTGCAATAGCATTAGCGCATTTTGGAATTTTTGCATTTAAAGTTACAGCCGCAACAGCTCGAACAACTCAAACAACTCGAACAACAACAGCAATTGTAACACTAACAGACAGTGCTGCACATTTGCATGATGTTTGTGGGCAAGTTTGGCCTTTGGGCTTAATACTTTTGACGTCTTTGGGCTTTTATGCTGCATTGAGTCACATTTCTTTGACTGATCAAGTTGGCTTCAGAATTGGCCCAGCCATTGATGTGTGCTGACGGTTTCTGGGCGCGTCTTCGTTGGCATTGTTGGCATTTCAAAATTGCATATTCAGGTATTTTGTCTTTTGAGGCGCAGCTTGGCATTGGCATAATGAAATCGACGAATCTTTGCCTCAGTCGGTCGGCCTGCGCGTGTTAATTCACTGTATTTATCCAGATTCTTATGCACTTATCCGGAATTTTATAAGCCCCCTTCTTTTGAGTTTCGAGCTGTGGGCGTAATCGCAGCAATAAGTGTCAGCTGGCCTGCTCATTGAGACATTGAGCCTCGCACGGAGACACAGAGTTTATTTGTCCGGTTCAAAGAAGTTCGCTGAGTTTACCTTGTCAAATTGTTGTAGTCGCAGCCTTCCTTTGATAAATTTTAAAAACCAACGACTTTTTGGCAGCATCTACACACCCACACTCACCACGCACTCAGACATATACACAAATACACACACACTGACAGACACCGCCTAGACACACCTGAGGCATGCAAGAGCGCAACTTCGGTTTCGATTATGTCAAGCAGCGCTCTCTCACCTGTTGCTCAGCTGTTGCTGTTGCTGTTGCTGTTACTGTTGCCCGACAAACTCAACACACAGCCGGAGCCGAAATCGAAAGAGCAACTCAAACCAGTTGGCCATTGCCGCTTGTCTCGTGATTAGAGTGTTGTTGGCCACGACGACGACGTGGCCGGCGCCGTGGTGAATTGAAGTCACGAAATATCGTCAAACTGCTCTGAGCCTAGTTCAGAGACCGCAGCGCACTCAGTTGGTGGATGTGCTTCAGCCGGAGCGGTTGCTAGACAAACCAAACGCAGACGTGTTTTAGCTGTTCAATAGAAACGTGGCCCGTGCGCTTGGCCACCTTAAAAGAAATACCTTTGCGCATCGGGTTAGTGCAAGAGTTTAAGTGTGTGTTCATGTGTGTGTATTGGCTATGTGTTAAGCACGGCTTTCATCTTGGCCAGACGCTCAGACAAGCAACGAAATCAAGTGAAACATTCAGCTAAAAAGTCTGGAAACAGAAAAAAAATACCATTCAAAATACCAAAAAAACCGAAAGAAAAAAAATACAAAAAAAAAAACAAACAAGTTTCTTTACTATTTCGCTCTCTCGTATAAGTGTTTTTGTTATTTTCTTGTGTATTTTGTTTGCATCTTGCTATAAAAGGAGTGAGAGTGAAATGTGAAATGTCAAACCAAATAGCCGGGCAGCGCAACTTTTACAATGACATCATTTGGAAATTAGCTGAAATATGATTTAATTTAAATAAAAACATAAACAGCTTGACTGTGCGAACTGTAACGAGCAAGGCATTGTTACAGCAGCCGCTGGCTAATTAAAATTAATCTTATATGCAGTCAAAAACTTGGTCAAATGCACAATAGCAACAGTACCAGCAGCAGCAGTAGCAGTAGCAGCAGCAGCAGCATTGATAGCATTTGTGGTTTTCTAGTTAGTCGCAGTCGGCCAAAGTTGCCGCAAATAATGCCACAAAGCCGCTTCCAGTTGCTGTTGCAGTTGCAGTTGCAGTTGTTGTTGGTGCTTCAAGTTGATCGCGGAACCGGTTCAAATATACAATTTTTGGATCTAAAGTTTTGCTTGTTGTTGCTATTGCTATTGCATTATTGCGAATTGCATGCGCATTGGATTTTCTTGAATATTTTTCTTAGTTAGTTGCTTTCGTGTAGGACAGAGCTTAGAAAGGCAATAACTAGACACAGGGGCTGAGCTGGTCTTCATATACATATATATTTATTTAATACTAGAAGTATATAGCAACTGCAGACAAAATTGCCTAGTCAAACAGACTTCTTATAAGTGTGAGTAGTAAAAAGACTTAGGCAACGAACTTGAATTCAACCAACAGACGAAATCTATAAAAACGGTGACTGTTCTTCTTAGTTTATATATATAATAATATTAATATATAGAAGTTTCAAACAGATATATACCAAGCTTGATTGACTAAAGCGCTAAAGCTGTTTGTATAACAAATGACTTATGCAACGAACTTCAATACTGTCTTAACTGCAACTAATTACCGAAATTAATCAGAGACTGTTAAACAACTTCAGTTATCTTTATATATAATAGGAGTAATATGCATATAAGCTTAAAAGACTTGATGAAGATTTACAATAATAATGCTATAACAAAAGACTTAGGCAGCGAACTTAACTACTAATGAAATCAATCACAGACAACATGAATGACATACATATATTAAAAAGTTTTTATAAAAATCATTTCCATAAGTTGGCCAAAACACAGATGTTGTAACAGCAAAATATAAAAAATAAATTCCCCCTGAAATTATTTAAGCTACCTTTCAAAGGAAATGGCACCATTCAGGTTAGCCAAATAGATTAAAAAACCGTTATAAAGGTAAAAAAAATCACACACTCCAAAAAAAGACCAAATGTCAAACACGAAACGTGCAGAAAATTAATGACATTAAACAAAGCCGCGCATTAACAAAATGTTAACAAATAAATGAGAAAACGAAAGCAAATAACATTATTTTTAAGCAGAAAGTGTTGTTAGATAATCTTCAATAAGTTTGCTTACTATTTTCATCTTTTACTAGTTTCATTATTTCAAAATTAACAACAAGTGCAAAGGTGTGAACAAGAAAGAAAAACTGATCAAAAGAAAAATTAAGCGAATATATTATATATATAGAAAAACATAAATCTAAAATGCAAGCGTGTAGAAAAAAAAGAGCTCCGGGCGACACGGCGTCAATTTTGTGGAGCAAACTCTTTGTGTCCAGCCTCTGCGGATTATTGTTGCTTGGCATTCAAATTGAGCGTGCGGCGTCTGCGCCTGCAGGTGAGGATGATGCTGCAGCCATGCCTACTACTCTGATGCCACCACTGGATATAACCACTGAAGTTGACTCTACAACAGCAACAGCAACAACAACAACGACAACAACAACCACAGTAGCGGCAGCAACAACAATTGGCGTAGAACAAAGTAGCGAGTCGACTGCGACTGCGACTGCGACCATGTTGGATAGTTCAACGACTTTGGGATCCAACAAATTGAACTCAAGCGAAGCTGGTGAGTTACAAAGACCCAATGCGAACGAAAATTATAGATAGCATTGGGACGTCGCCCAGGCGCGCCTCAAAAGCTTTGCCAGACACTTTAGTCTCACTGTTCTCGAGTCCGATGACTCTAGACCCATAATCAAATTTCATTCTTTGAGCTACCAATTAACGCCGCTCCACTCGTCGTCGTCTCCACCCATTTACGGATCGATCCGTCAAACATTTTTCCATAATTGCTCCCCTTTTCGCTTAAATGGAGCTTGGTAAAAGAAATTTGGCTTTACGTCATTTTCTTTAGATTAATCATAGACAGAATTTTGGTTTTTTAGTTTCCTGTTGAATTATTTCGTTAATTATGCGGCGCCTCAAAGTGGAAGCAAATAACCAAGAAAATGGAAACTTTTCTTTTAACTGTTGCGGAAATCATTTTCATAGTTTTCAAATCAAGTGAGGCATTAAATAAATAATAACTGACATAACAAATGAATATATTCAAAGGGAAAACTTTAACTTAGTTAGCGATTTGAACTAACGACGAAAGTGGGCCAGAAAGTTGACTTTCGTCTGATTTGAAGTTAAGACGAGTAAATAGAAATTTGTATACAGATTTGGTCTAATTCCATTATTTGGATGAGCTGTGTTTCTGTTGTGTAGTAAGTGAAAGGTTTCAACTCCGTTCTCTAATCGAAACTTCAACTCTTTAAATTGGGTTAGCAGTCTAATTATTCAGCTCTGTGCTCTTTCGGCTTCTTCTTCTTGCAATTAGTTGGTTTTTGTTTTAATGTCAGTTGCACATCAAACGTGTCACGTTGTGAGCGATTTACATCAACGTCTACAGCTTCTTTGATCTGCCTTCAACACTCTGCTGATGATATGATAAAATAGTCGGCCACACAGACTTTTAGAGCTAATAAAATACTCTAACAACAAAGTTGGTTTGAGCTCAAGCTTACGAACTGTCAATGAATGCCAATTTAGCTTCGTAATTATGTTAGTTAATTTATAATAAAGCCAAGTACGTATTTCCGAATATATACGCATGACTCATTGCTTCACCTACGTGCCATCTAACAACAGTTACACCTTTTGATTGTGTGTCATAAATGTTTGCCAAAGTAATTTGTTTTTTTTTTTTCTTGACGCTGGCTTTGGGCAATGCCAATTAAAGCAACACGTAGGAAATTAACCTAAACGATGATGGCAAAAAAAATATAAAAGTCTTAAATCATAAATCACGAAGATGCCAAAACACCCCCACAACAACTTGACGCAACTCTTGCGAAGACGTTGTGCATCCCAGCCCACATGTTTGCTACTAATTAGTGAATCAAACAAAAGACAATATCTTACCAAAGATCTGATGAGTTGGCCATCTTTGATTGATAAACTAAATGATTGGTTGGCAATGCCATAAATGAAATATATTTTTAAAGATGTTTGTATACATAATATATTTGTTAGAGATATTTCTTTGCCATCTTTAAATTACCTTCAGAGCAATAGAAATATAGATATACTGGGGCAGAGAGTGGTGTAAAAAGAGGAACAGAGATAAGCTGAGAATGATGTAAAGAAAGAGAGAAAGCCATAAACAGATATATAAAGACAGAGAGAGAGAGCGAGAGAGAAATGGAGTAAATGTGATTGAGACAGATAAAAAGGAAGAGAGAGAAAAATAGATGAAGAAATAAACAGAAAGATACAACAAGAAAACGAGAGAGAGATAGTAAAGAAAACAGAGAGAGAGAGAGAGACACTTAAAATAGAGAGGCAAGACAGCAAGACATAGATTGAGAGATGTAGTTAATCAGTTAAGACAAATATTATTGATAAAAAATAATATAGAAAATAATAGATGTATATATTTAATTACAGTCAAGTAATCCGTAAATGATAAAATGATTGTAAAATAAAAAATCAAGCAGTTGTTAAACTAGTTTCAAGTTTGAAGCTTAATGTCTTAAAGGCAATTAATGAAATTGTCAATAGGAAAACTGTCTTTAAATGTACAAAGGTTTCGCCTTAATTGGAAAGTTGACCTTTCTACATTTTCTACTTGAATACCTTATAAGATTTATCTAATTTTTAGCTTTGATTGAGTGATCTTGATTTGGTGCTAAGGCCATGTTTTAATATCTTGCCAAGCAAGCTTAGTATTTCCAATTCAATTTTATTTTTATTATAAAAATTTACAATGTTATATTTTTAAACTGTTCATAATATGCATATGAAACTCGTTTACATTTTTGGTTTTTTAATTTGTAAAATATTTTTTCAATTAAAAAACTAGTTTCAAATTTAATTTTGTAGATTTTAAATATCAGATCGTCCATCCCATCCATCTTTGACAAACTAGCGGCATAGACTTGACCGCTAAGACCCGTTCGTACCGTTGTTGTATAAAAACCCATTCAAGAAACAACTAGCAGTTGTAAATTATTTTTGAGCAAAGCCAAGTGCATAAATTGCAGTTTGCTAATGAGTTGGAAAATTGCAGAGCACGGCTAAACGTCGACTGCATAAATCATTTCTGTATATATTTTGTGGTTTGGCTCAACTGCAGACAAAATTAGGCGCTAATTGATGGCCTTGCATTGCTGTAAAAAATTTCATAAAAATCCTATTAGCCTCAAATCGCTCGAATGCAATTCAGGGCCTGCATTCGCCATGGCTTGCCAAAAATGTTAAAGAAATAAATATATATATATATGTATATATTTATATATATATATATATATATATATATTATATAAATTTATATTTATATATAGTTTTGAAGGTCTGATTGCACAATAAAACATCACGAAATATTTAATATAATATAAAATAAACAAAACTAAAGGTTGCCCTTAGCCCTTATGACAAGTAGAGACCTCGACGAGGCTCATCATAATTTTTTTTTGGTAACTTTCTTCAAGGAAAAACTAGTCAAATATATATTTAAATTGGCGAATGAGTTGTTATTACTGTGATTGTTGATTACTTTTGATTTTTGCTATTATTACAAATCAACGCACTTGGTAATTTGTATACCTGCAGCACGATGTCGTGCCGCCTGAACGGAAATTGGATTTTGAATTTTGAACTTTGTAAGTGAAATTAAAAAAATTGTAATTGGGATATATTTTTTTGCTTATTCAGCATAATGTACAAAACTCAGTAGATTCATCTCCCAACAGTATTCAATGTTCGCACAATTTATCAAGTTTGTTGCCTAAGTCTTTCTTGTTCGAGGTTCCATGTGAGCAGTTTTTTCATTGCGGTCTTTTATATTTATTTGTTTTTTATTTTTTCTGCTGGTCGTCGAGAGATTCTGCAGAAAGCCGCAGACAAACAAGTTTGTGCCCTAAGTTATTTGTTTTGGTTCATTTCCAAGGATAAATATATAAAATTTGTTGTGTGAGAAATATGCCAAAAATTAAAAGTATTTTTCACAAAGGTGGGGCCTGTGTGACTTTATATACACATGTATATGCTGTTAGAGTTGTTGTTGCTTTCGTTGGACTTACCTTTCGCTTGGGGTTCATGCACGATTAGCTGGCAAAATTTAACGTCCGTTATAATGAACCGATAAGTAAAAGTAGCTTAAAACTTTTTAGCAAAAATAGTTAAAAATTGGCTAAGAGTCGAGTGTGAAACAACAACAACCTCAAATTGTTGTTAATTGCAGCTTGTTTATTTATGTTGTTGCTGTTGCTCTAACTCCTCTGTACATTGACACTTGCCTGGGTGCGAGCAGCCTGCGGCTGAATTTTGAATGCGTGAAAGTGTTGTCAGTGCCTTGACTGCAGTTAACAATTAACATTTCGCCCATAAATATGACTGCATGGATTTTCGAACTCAAGTGTCAAATAAAAAGAAAATAACATATCACAGTCAGAGAGTAAATAAACCTGTGTGCTTTGAACTTCACATGAGGTTTTTCCTGACTTTCTCCGCGCACAAATTTATTGCCAGCATCGTATGATAGAACAACAGGTTATCTCCTCGCTACGATTCATGTGCCATTAAAAATGCAGCCTAAATGCCAAGTGAAAATCTGGATAGCTCAGTTCCAGCTTCTGCTATTTGTGTCAGGGACACAAAGTAAACAAGTTAGCTATTTTTTACTTAAGCTGATTGCATTTACTCAATTCAAGTATTTATGTGCATTCATATTATATTGTATATATGTATGTATCTATCTATGCATGCAACACCCTCTCAGCTAGACATGCGTTTTTTTTCTGATTTTCCATTAGGTAATTTTTGTTTAATGTGCGCTGAGAAAAATGTAGCGCAAAAAGTCGAATATAATTAATGCATTTTAATTGTGGGCTGTATAATGTGTGTTTACGTCTGTGTGTTTGTGTGTGTAGAGTATTACTGGGGTGTTTATGCAATTAACTATGTCATTGAACGGTGCACAGAATGTTTTCAGGAAGTGAATACTTAGCCTGGTAGCGAAAGAGGGAACACAACAAGAATAAAAGAATGAATAAATTGCCATTGGAGTTAGAAATAAGGAATATGGAATGAAAGAGAACAAACACAATCCAAACTGAACTGTAAATTTAATTGAATATTTATGAAGAAAGAATACTCTTCAAGTGGTATAAGCTGTTATAATATACATATATATATATATATATATATATATATATATATATATATATATATATATATATATATATATATATATATATATATATATATATATATATATTTACATAAAAATATTACATATATATTACATATATATAATATAATTATAGCTAAATTTTTATTTTATTATATAGCTAAGCTGGCACTTGACTTACGTAAGGCCTTAGTCTATTAAATGTTGCTTGGTTACCCCTTAGCCGGCTGTGTGCCATTCAAGTGACCTTCAAATGCAAACGCACTTGGCACAATGTCTACCACGATAGCCTCTCACATGCACACGAGCCTGAGTGTGTATGGCAACACTTTTGCAGCTCCAATTCCAAATCCAAATCCAATTGCAAGCTGATTTCATGGCCGGCCAAGTAA